TCTTGGGACATATTCTGTTTTCTTAAGAAAATGTGTGATCTAGTATGAAAAGGAGTCTCAATTCTTGAGGTTGGTTTGTCCACCTGAATAAGTCTCTCCTTGGTTATGCATGGTGGAAAGGCATTATGAACCACACAAGGCAATATTTAAACATCAAATTTAGTGATTGTGAAATGACTTCTTTTTCCAGATAACTTCTGGTGTGGAGAAAATCCGCTGAAGTTGGGGTTGTATGCCATTTTGGACAAATCAAAGGCTACGGTAAAGAGTTGACCACCATCATGGATGGTAGGGATGGCAATGGTTTGGGAGCAAAGAAGATGAATGGGAAGATGAGAGAAGTCAATATTTTGTATGAGGAACGTGCTAAGAGGAACGAGAGAGGCATAAAAAACGTTGATTGACTTTTGATTCACCCTCGCCTTTTGTTTGGCTGTTGCTATATTTTTCTTGTAAAAATGTTGATGCATGCATTTATAGTATGAATTGTTGTTGATAGAGAATCATTCTTTTAATTATGTAGGGGAAGGAATAGGCATTGCATGCGCTGTATTCAATAATTTTATATCTTTGTTGTGATACTGTTTCTTGAATTTATCCATTGTCATACATTGCTGTAGGATTAAATACAGTATAAGCATAGTTGCTGACAAGGGACTGAAGAAACCCCTTTACGCATCTGCGCGCTTGAAAAAAGGGGAAGTTCTATATTTAGAAACACATTCAAACAGGTGAGCTTTTCTCTTTTAATATTTTTATGTGGGAAAGGAAAAGAAGTTTCTGTATATGCTGATATTGGTTCATATTCACGAGTACAGTTTTGCATGTTTTAATGTCTTGCCATTGTTATCTGAAGGTACGAGCTCTGTTTTAATGGAGAAAAAACTGTCAGTGCAATAGCATCCTGTCAGCCGGTGGAATTGGAGATGGATAAAATTCAAACTCATTATTCACATGACACATAAATGGTGATAAAGGTTTATGTTATGAATATTCCTTTCCTATTTTCCTTTAATTGTTAATAGACTAGTCTTGGTAGTTTCCCCTTGGCTGAGTGTTTGGTTCGCAGTCATGTGGTTGCCAAACCTAGGATCTGCTCTTACTTTTGGTTCGCAGTTCTGTTTTAGGTATCTATTAGTCT